TGTATAGTAACTTAACAATAAAATCTAATTTAACACACTAATATAATATATTCCTATACAAATTGTTTGCATACATGTCAAATGCTATCTATACTCAATTACAATACACACTTTGTGTCTTTTAAAACTTTCGCAACCTTTTGTAATTTTTACTATTAATTTATAATGTTACTTTAATTACCATCGGAAAAAGTAAAAGAAATTGCTCTGTGTTATTTATTTATATTATTACATTTCAAGACTATTATCCTTTAAAATTCAATAATTTATGGTGTTAAGAATAATAAATAATTATTACATATTATTTATGATAAATATTTGATAATTAATTATTTGTGGAATTGACATTTTTTTTCATCAATTTTAAGTTTATAATAGTTTTTGGTTCTTTGTATCTACAGCTTATTTCCAATTCTTTCCAATTGTGCTGTGGATGATAGTTGATTTAAAAGTTAKTCTGCCTATTTTTACCCAGAAAACAAAATCATTTAAGAGTTAACTGATGTTTCTCCAAAAAAATTTCAAAAAGCCTTTTCATAAACACCATGAATAGTTTTTCAATTCATGAAGACAATAGAAATTTTTTCACAATATCAATATGAGCTTTACTATTGTTGTCATTAATAATTTTAATCTTTGATTAGTAGAATGCAAAATATTGGATTACAATGAGTATTGAGATAATTCAGAATATTYGATAAAATATTGTTTTTGTGTTTTATCTCAAAATATTACTATATACATAATAAGTAATAATAATAAGTATAATATGAATAAAATTTAAAATTCCAAAAGTATAACACATCAATTTTATATTTGATTATAATACGTCTTAACTTGGTGAAAAATATACTTTCACATAATTAATAGATTCTTATTTTTTGTTTGAATTAAAACATATTCATTAATCAAGCATAGTATATGAACTAGTGTTGAGCATTATTTTGACCAATCTGGATTATAGCTTACAATTATTTAATCCAACTTCATTGTTTTTGAAAGATAATCAGCTATTTTTTCATTATTATCAACCTAAATAATACGAACATACAATCTAAAATCTATTGACAATTGACTCAATGTTATGAGACCTCTAATAGCAAATATACCAGGGTTAATATTATTAATAATTATTTTCAAAATGCTTTATAATTCGGATTAATATCATAACCTGAATTTGAATCATAATCTGGTTTTGATATTTTAATCCGGATTAAATGGATTGTAAATTTTGTGTTAATTCGTATCAAACCAGATCGGCAATCCAGATATGGATTGATACGGATTTAGTGTTCAGCACTAATATGAAAAATAATTTACCTATACACCATAATTTTTATTTCTGTAAAAAAAATGTACTTATAGGAAAGTTATTAATAATAATTAAAACATAATTATGATATCTTATTCATTATATAAATTAAACTAATTGCCTAAATAATTTTTGAGTATAAGCAACTATAGGCTTGCCATTCGTGCCGGTTTGACCGAGACAGTCCTAGTTTTAACAACTCGTCCCAGTGTCCTGTCAAATTAATTAAAACCAAGAAATAATAATAATAATATTGAGCTGATATAGCTGATTACTTAAAATCGGACTTAAAATCAAGTCAACATAAAAATAGTTTGTTGGTATCTGATWGTTCTTCAAAATTAACTAAATATTTCAAAAGTTCTGAACCACATATAAAATAATTGGATTCGGTGTCCCAAGAGGCAACTTTTGGTTTAACTCAGGTGCCGGCAATCCGCGGCCCTCAAAACTTTTTGCTGTGGCCCTCCAAATATATTTCATGGTGTTTAAATTGTATAGCTTAAATTGTTATAAATAATATTTAATCATGACTATTATAATATAATAAATAATAAATAGTTATATTATAACAATGCGAGAACAAAGCTATGAGCGAAATTATAATCTAATTGTATATAATGTATATATCGTCGATTACGACAAATACGTAACTGGTTATGGCCTTAGTGCAGTTTTTTTCGAAACATTCTAACATGAAGCTTAAATTTCAACTGATTTATAATAAACTAT